ATTTTTTTAAACTACATTCTATTAAAATGCAAAATATGTTAACCTGTTGATATGCCTAACAGCTGATCATTGAATATATTTTCATATTCATATCCCAACTAAATGTTCTTTCTTTTGGAAAACTCAGCACACTGATTTTCATTCTAATGTAAAGTAAGTTTCAAAATAAAAGCAGTAAATATTTTACAACTTAAAACTGAAAAAGGGAGGAGTTTTTTTTCCCCTTATATTAGAGTTGTATCAGAAAGACATATGGAGAAAAACATGAAGTGAAATTTTTTGCCTTCAACTGTGGTTTAAATCAGTCCCTCCCTTTTATTTTCATTTCAGACATAAAAAGTGTGTTTTCCACAATCAAATCCATAAAAACAAGGACAATGTGACAAGAAGGAAAATCCATTACAGCACAGATTCATTTACCCGCCAAGCATCTACAGACAAAAGACATTTGGTCATAATCTGACATTTAAAATACACAAATAAAATAACTCAGATTCCGCTCCATAAATACAAACAAAGACATTTTGGGTTACGTTAGGCACCTTTTCATTCACACATTCTTCCACACATGTATATGAAACAATTATTTAAACCTCAAAGAAACAATTAAAGAGAATTTATAAGTGAAAATATATATCTTTTAAAAAAGGTTTTGCTTTTTTAGGCCATTATTTTACACAATTACAAGTTTTCTAAAGGTAGAACTGATTTCAATCAGCATGAATTCACAGCAAACTTTATGATAGTAAAAGAAAAAACTGTTGCATCTATAGTGGTTCAAAAGTAATTTTCACTTTCACACACTCAAACATTAGTTTTTTTTCTGTCCCAAAACAATTAGGTTTACAAAATACTTAACAATCAGCTTTTTGTAAACTATGTCCCCCGTCTGTAAAACAATCTTCAGCATTTCCTGCTTTGACATATTTCTCTGCCCCAATTTTGCAGCTGTGCAGTTAATTGGCAAATAAAATTAAAGGGTTACAAACACGTGATTTAAACCACCTTTGAAAAATGTAAAGAACAGAAGGATTAAATGAGAGAAAAATATTTTTTGATGGCGTAATCACAAAATGTGTGCGTGCAGATTCTTCTTTCTCCATTTTCGTGATATCCTAGCATGAGTCTGTTTATCTTCCTGAGAAAGGTGATGGATTAAAAAAATTAGTTGACACTTAATTTTTGTTTTTTTTTTTTTTCAAAAAAAAATGGATTAAAAAAAAAAAAAAAAAACTCTTCCGGTTTTCTTTTTTCCCTTAAGTGTTTAAATCTGAGAGACAAAACAGATAAATTATTTATGTTTAGTTTGCACCATAGTTCATGTCTGACTTTGCTCTACCTACGTCCTCGTGTGCTCTTAACGACCACCATACAGGTGGATCTTGGTGAACGAGACGGTCTCGAAATAGTCTTTCTGGCCCTTCTCGTAGATGACAAAGATGTACTTGCGGTCTTCTACAGAGCCGCTGTCCAGTGATGTCATACTGGAGTAGCCGCTCGGACCTGCCCATATCTGGACAGCTTTGTTCTCCCAAGACGTGCCGTTTGTCAGCGACCATTTCAGGGTTAGATTCACTCCTGAAGGAGATAAAGCATCACTTATTTATCCACTCAACTTAATCAGGATCATTTCAACCTGGATTT